CCTCAGCTCATTAGCATGGTAGTCGCCGTAGACATGATGCACTATATATACAATGCCAGTCGTCGCAAGTCGCATAGTATAGCAGGTCTCGTTCAGGCCCGTGCGAGGGCGATGGCCCGACGCCGTGGCCATGTGCGAGCTGCCCATCAAGGCGCCTGGGACTGGGGCCTCCCTTCCCCCCCCTTGATGAGTGCGTCTCCTCTGTTCAGAGGGCTAGCGGCGCGGGCGCGCGCTCGCGCGCCCTACGCAGTCCCAAGCCCGGCCTGCGCCGAGACGAGGGGCGCGCGCGGTGGGGGGAGAGCCCCTGCAGACCTTCACGGCCTGGCCCGCGCCGAATTTTCCTCCTGGCCGCGCGTCGGAACAGGATTCTGGAGGAGAGCGAGGGGGCGGGGGGGGGAAGGATGGGCCCACGACGGCAAGGCGGTTGGAGGAGAGGGGGCGCTGCCTGAATGGATTTGTCCGGAGATGACTGCGCGCAGGGCCCGCGACGGCGGCCCTGGGGATGCTCGAGAAACTGTGCCCAATGAAAGTTACCATCGCCAGCTAGCAGGAACCAGGGCCCTGGGCTTTGCGCAGCGGTCGGATCCATTGCTTGGAATACGCTGCGCCATGTCGCCGCATCACCACCCTGGGCCCCATGAAAAACGAATAGGTACAGGACTCGCGACTCCCGGCCAACCTCGGGATCTTGAAAACGAAGGGCGTGCCAACGATCCCCACAATAGTCCTCCACGCTGGTGACAGCGCCGGCCAACTCCTTGAGGGCGAAGAAACCGACCGATGCAAATGAAGACGATTGCTTCCCCAGCCAAATAGAAGGGAACCCACTGGGGACGCGCGAACCCGCTGGGGGGCGCGCCCCAGGGAGAACGCGCGCGTGAAGGCCGCGCTGCTGCAGGGCCGCCGACATGGCCCATAGGCGCCAGTAAAGCACTTCGCCCGCGGCCAGCGCTGCGAGGCCCACCCGGCCCGGGCTGACGCAGGCAATGATTAGTTCGGATGTGCGCCGGCGATAGCTGGGGCGCCCTCCCCAGGCTCTCCCGCGCAACCGCCCGCTTAAGGCGAGACTACTGCGATCCCGCCACCCCTGTCCCCGCATGCCGCACGCGCAGCCCCCCTCAAGAATGTCCCCAGCTCGACGGTGAGATCTCCAAGAGGGGCGACGGGCTTCCCACCACCTGGCTGCGGGCACCCAGGATGCGGCGGCTGCCTCTCCAGCAGCGCCTGGACGCCCTTGAACAAGGCAGCGCGCTCGTTCCGGAGGGGCCTCGCGGAGGCCCACTGATCCAAGAGGCCCTGCAGCTCACCGAGGCCCTCGGCGGCCGCATCGCGGCAAAGAGCGCCCACGAACCATGGCGGCGCTTCGCCGGCACTGGGACTAATGTAGTGGTCATGGGGCCATCCAGCCGAGCCGGGCGCCGCGCGGCGGCTGGTCACTGGCGCGGGCAACAGCGGGCCCCACCCAGCGCAGGTGCCGCACATGCATCCTCGGCCCCCCACACCAAAGTGGGCGTTGCGGCTTGAGGCAAAATGGCTACGAGCGAGTTCGACGCCCTCGGGCATCACCCCCTCCCTCCCGGGGCGCCCCTGGCGGAGGTTGAGGGCCCTCCCGGGGGGGGCCCCGCGGTCAAGGCGGCGGGCGCGGCAGGCGTCCGCGAGCCGCGCCCCCTCCCTCCCGGGCCGCGCCCGGTGGAGGTGGAGGTCCAGGCGTTCGGGTCTGCCGCGGCGCTGCGGGGCTGGCCCCCCTGCCGAGGCGCGCGCTGGCGCGGGGGGGCCGCCCGCCCCCCCCCCCCTTCCTGGGCCGGGCGGAGGTCGCGCCGGATGAGGAGGCTGCGGAGGCGGCGGCGCGCGTTCACCGCGCGTCCCACGGTGAGCGCGCTTGTCCGAGCGGGCGGCCGGCCAGCCGAGGAGGGGCTAGCGGCGCTGCTGCGGGCGCCCAGCGGCGGCTTGATGGCGCGCTGCGCCGCCTTTCGGGCCCAGAGCTCGCCGAGCTCATGGGCCAGAAGGCGGCCAGGATCGCCGCCGCTGGGCGGTGGGGGCGCGCCTGCCGACCGCGGCGCCGCGGCGATGGCCACCGCGGCGCTCCGGGGCGTGAGCGGGGCTGCGCCGGGCGCGGGCGCCCCTTGCCTGCCCCCCCTCCCTCGCGCTCTTCCTCCATCCCTTCGCGCGCCCTGTCGTTTTCGTCTGTCGTCTGTCGTTTCGTCCGTCGTTCGTCGTGCCGCTTGGCTCCTTCGCGCAGGTTTAAAGAATGGGAGTATCTCTCTCTCTCTTTCTCTCTCTCTCTCTCTCTCTCTCTCTCTCTCTCTCTCTCTCTCTCTCATGTTTTTTATTCCTCTCTCTCTCTCTCTCTCTGTATATGTATATATACATACATATATGTATGTGTATCCTTCCCTCTCGCTCTCTTTGTCTCTCCCTCTCTCTCTCTCTCTCTTTCTCTTTTGTTATTTAATCGCTTCGCTCATTCCGCCGGCCCGTAATGTCGCACCGTGGTCGCCTGTCCGAGTGGTCGTTTGCAGTGTGGAGCTGCGGCGTCGGGAGCTGTGTAGTTGTCGATAAATGTGTTAATGTTTTTTCATGGGGCTTCTAGGTGTTAGCAGTTTTTTTGGCGGCTTTGGTGCCATCGTGGGGGCGTGTTACCCGTGGTATCCACAATGGGGCCGTTCGAGCCGGGGGAAGAGACATCTTATGCGATAGGGGAACCCTCGTGTCGGAGGGCGGCGGGCTTTGAATGCTAACATTGGCTCTGTTATCGTCCTGGTGTCCTCTGGCGTTGCGGACACGGGCGTGAAGGAACACTTTCTTGTGGCGTTTCTCTTACCATCTCTTTTCTGATTGGACCGGAGGAGGAGGAGGAGGAAGACGACGACGACGACGAGGAGGAGGAAGAGGAGGAGAAAGAGGAGGAGGAGGGGGAGGAGGAGGAGGAGGAGGAGGATGGGGGTGAGGAGCGATGAGGAGCGCCTTTGTCGTCGTCGTCGTCGTCGCCGCCGCCGCCGCCCGCCGCCGCCGCCCGCGGGCGTCGTCGTCGTCGTCGTGGAGGGTCGAGGCTCGAGGCTGGAGGCCGAACGCGGGGGAGGAGGACCACCCCGACCCGCGTTTCCCAAGTCGCGTATCGCTGGAGTCTTGGAGGCGTCCTGGGGGCCTCCTGAGGGTTTTTCGGAGGCCTCCAGAGGGCCTTTTTCGGGGGCCTCTTGAGGCCTCTTGAAGGCCTCTTGGGGGCCTCCTGGGGCCTTTGAGGGCGTCTTGGGGTTTCCCGGGGGCCTCTAAGGGCCGAAAGCTCGAAATTCTGTTTCGTGAACCCCCTCTTGGGGCGTTCTTGAAGCGTTCTTGGGGCCCTCTTGGGCCGTCTTGGAGCCGTTTTGGGCCGTCTTGGAGCCCTCTTGGGGGCCTCTTGGGCCCTCTTGGGGCGATCTTGGAGGCCTCTTGAGCCGTATAGGGGCGTCGGGGAACCGAAAAGGTGGAAACGCCCAAATCTGTCCAAAACCTATGGAAAAGCATTGTTTGTTTGCCTCTTGGGGCCCTCTTGGGAATGCACTTGGAGACCTCCTGGGGATATTGGAAGCTTCTTGGGTCATCTTGGAGACGTTTTGGGCCGTCTGGAGGCCATCTTGGGCGCCGTGGAGCGATATTCGGGCGTCTCGGACCTCTCTTGGACCGTGTTGGGGGCGTTTTGGGGGCCCTCTTGGGCGGTCCTGGAGGCCTCTGGGCCCGTCTTGGAGCCGTCTTGGGCCGTCTTGGGGCCCTTTTGGGGGCCTCTTGGGCCTTCTTGGGGCGATTTTGAATTCCTTGAGCCGTTTAGGGACGTCGGGGAACCGAAAAGGTTCAAACGCCCAAATCTGTCCAAAACCCAAGGAGAAACACAGTTTGTTGCCTCTTGGGGCTCTCTTGGGAGTTCTCTTGGAGGCCTCTTGGGGCATCTTGGAGGCTTCTTGGGCCATCTTGGAGACGTCTTGGGCCGTCTGGAGGCCATCTTGGGCGCCGTGGAGCGATCTTCGGGCGTTTCGGACCTCTCTTGGACCGTGTTGGGGGCGTTCTTGGGGCCCTCTTGGGCCGTCTTGGAGGCCTCTTGGGCCGTCTTGGAGCCGTCTTGGGCCGTCTTGGGGCCCTTTTGAGGGCCTCTTGGGCCCTCTTGGGGCGATCTTGGAGGCCTCTTGAGCCGTGTAGGGGCGTCGGGGAACCAAAAAGGTTGAAACGCCCAAATCTGTCCAAAACCTAAGAAAAAAACATTGATTTTTGCCTCTTGGGGCCCTCTTGGGAGTGCTCCTTGAGGCCTCTTGGGGCATCTTGGAGGCTTCTTGGGTCATCTTGGAGACCTCTTGGGCCGTCTAGAGGCCATCTTGGGCGCCGTGGACCTCTATTGGATTGTGTTGGGGGCCTCTTGGGGCCCTCTTGGGGCGATCCTGGAGGATCTGGGGGCGTGTCCCGGGCGTGTCCCGGGCTCCGCCCGGGGTACTTTTGATCCAGGGACCCCCAGGGGCCGCCCCGCGCGCGCGAACCAGAAATACGGGTTACCAGTTACCGGAGATTTTAGCACGCCTCTGGCCCGTTGGGCCGGCGAATTACCCTGTGTTACCCTCCTTTTCGGTTTCGATGCATGAACATATATATATATAGAGAGAGAGAGGTGTGTGCTTCCCAATTCTATATCAATATTGATTGCTTGTTATATTTATCCAGATATTTCTCTATTTATCTCTTGTTGTTGTTTTGTTTCTCTCGCGCTCTCTCTCTCTCTCTGTACAATCAGCCCGCGTAGTAATGATGAGCGGCTTTCCAAGGTTACCCTTGGATCCTTCCCGTGCGGTTCGCCCTTGGCCGCTCCGCTGGCCGCACCCCGCCCGCAGAGTATCGGCATGGCCTTCCAAAGTCTTTTGCATCCTTATTGCGGATCTTATGATGCGGGTTGAGTGATTTTTGTTTTGTTTATATTTCTCTCTCTCTCTCTCTCTATTCTCGCCTTCTCTCATTCTCTCTCTCTCTCTCTAACTAAGCGGCAGGTCGGTGCGCGAGGACGTAGACAAGATCTGGCATGGCTACCGGCCAGCGAGTGGCCGACACCGTACATCGAGCAGGCGGAGTTGCGCGGCGAGGAGGAAGGGCAGGAGCAGGCGAGGGACGAGCAACAGTTGGGTTGTTCCAGCCGTACTTGAGCACCAAATCCCAGGCATAAATTTCGAGCATCAAGAAAAGTATCGAAACAGTGTCTGCCCGACACGCTAGCGGAATGTCGAACGAGCATTTCTTCACAAGGCCCGACGCGTGAAAATCCATCAGTTTCGGTAACCGCATGCCGATGATAATAAAGGGACCCCCCCCCCTTCAGTGTTTAGAGTTGATTATCGTCGCCCTATACAAAATTCAAATTGGGCGGCGAGCGCTGAGGCCGAACTTCATTATCACCTCGAAACGCTATGTTGAGATAGCAACATCAAGCGATGTTGATATAGCAACATCAAGCGAAGCGATCACACTTTTTCAGGATGTGTCAAGCGAAACCAAACATTTTGGGAGGCAGACTCAAACGAAACGAGCAATGTTCCAAGGATGTCTCAAGGATGTTTCAAGCTAAACCAGCAAGTTGTTTCTTTTTATTTATAGTTTTTATTATCTTCCTTTCTATATATGTATGTATCCCCGCGCGCGCCTGAACTTTTTTATCTCTGGGGTTGATTATCCATGGAAAGGGGAGCACATGAGCTACCCTACATGAGCACTTAAAAAAATCAATTTTCATAAAGCGCTTGTACATTAAAATTGATAGATTTGGAACTTTCCATGTTTCCGTTCTTCTTCTCTTCTTCTTCTTCTTCTTCTTATTCTTCTCTTCTTCTTCTCTTATTAGTATTCTTCTACTTTCCTCTTCTTCTTTTATATTTCTATATGTCCTCACGCTCGCCTGAACTTTTTTATCCCTGGGGTTGGTTATCCATGGAAAATGAAGCACATGAGCTACCCTACACGAGCACTTAAAACAATAAATTGTCATAAAGCGTTTGTAAATTAAAATTGATAGATTTGGAATTTTGGATTTCTCCTTTCTTCGTCCTCTTCTTATTCTCCTCTTCTTCTTTCTTATTATTATTCTACTGTATTATTCTTCTTTTATAGTTCTCTCTGTCCCCACGCTCGCCTGAACTTTTTTATCTCTGGGGTTGATTATCCATGGAAATTGAGGCACATGAGCTACCCTACACGAGCACTTACAAAAAACAATTTTCATAAAGCGCTTGTAAATAAAATCTAATATATTTGTAACTCGAGATTTGTTCTTCTCTTCGTCCTTCTCCTCCTCCTATCATTTCTTTCATGTTATTCTTTATTATTTTTATTTTTATTTTTTATATATAGCTTCCTCCATTCCTCCGCCCGCCTGAGCAATAGTTTGACTGTGTCTCAAGCGAAATAAGCAATAGTTTGCGGATGTCTCAAGCGAAACAAGGGATTTGTCGAGGATGTCTCCAGCGAGATAAGCCATTGTTGAGGATATTTCTATGAAAACTAAACGCCAAGGATGTCTCAAAACGTGCTCGGCTTGGTCTCCTCTTGATCATCTCTTACTTCGAGATTATGCTGAGGTCTGCTGGGCTACTTTTATTATCTCTCCCTGAACCCCGAACTTTATTATCCCCTAGTGTTTATTCTCACGGGCATGAGTTTACTTCCGTGGCGCTGGAAGTTGTTCCCGGTGATCAAGGCTAAAGTAGGTCGGAAACTCATAAAGCAAGAGGCGGCAAGCCCAGGGGGAAAAGCGAGAGGGGGCAGGCCTTCTCAGAAGGCGGCAGGTCTTCTCAGAAGGAAGGAGCGCCAGTGGATCCCCCTCCAATTGAAAAGGGTGGGTGCGCTCGCACACCGCCCCCTCCCTTCCAGAGGGGGGGAGGGTTCAGGCTCCCCCCCCTCCCTTTGAAAGGGGGGGGGGGTGTTCGAACCACCCTGCTGCGCCAGTGATGGGGGAGGGGGATTCAGGACCCCCAAACACACCTCCCTTTGGCGCCGGAGAGAGTTCGGGAGGGGGACCTCTATTTGTGTGGGCTTTGGGTGTTAGGGTTCAGGGCTTAGTGCTGAGGGCTTGGGGTCTAGAGTTTACGGTTAAGGGCTTGGGGCTCATGGCTTAGGGATTGGGGTTTAGGGTTTAGAGCTCGGGTCTTCGGGGTTAGGGCTTAGGCTGCAGGCTTAGAGCGTCTGATGTTGGGCTTCGGAGCTTCGGGCTTAAGGGTTTATGGTTTAGAGTTTGGGGTCCTGAGGGCTTAGGGCTTAGGGTTTGGCGCTTAGGGCATAGAGCTCAGGACTTGAGCCTTAGGTCTTAGCTATTCGGACTCAAGTCCTAGGGCTTAAAGCTTAGAGCTTGGAGCATAGGGCTTAGGCTGTGGAGCTTGGGGCTTGGGGTTTAGGGTTTAAGCCTTAGGGTTAGGGTGTTAGGACTGCGGGTTTAGAGTTTATGGTTTAGGCCCTAGTCCTTAGTCTTAGGGCTTAGGGCTTACGGCTTAGAGTGGTAGGGTTCGGGTTAGGGTGTTGCGGTCAGGGTGGTAGGGTGACGGCGGTAGGGTTAGGGTTTACGGTTGTAGGATTAGGGCATAGGGCTTAGGGTTCAGAGTTGGGATCTTAGGGCTTAGGGTTTAGAGCTTACGGTTAGGATGTTAGGGCTGTTGGCTCAGGGCTTGAGGCCTGGCGCCTCGGGCTTAGGGCTTTGGACTTAGATCTCAGGGCCTAGGACTCAGGGCTTAAGGTGGTAGGGTTCGGGTTATTCAGTTGGGGTCAGGGCGTTAGGAAAGAATAGTAGGGTTAATGTAGGGTTAGGGCTTAGGGCGGCAGGGCTTGGAGTGGGGTGTTAGGGATAGGTAGGGTATGTTGGCAGGGTGGTAGGGTTAGATTGTTAGGGCGTCGCGCATAGGTCTCAAGGTTTATGGCCGAGGGCTTAGGGCGGTAGGGTTTGGGTTAGGGCCGTCGGGGTTCGTAGTGCGCTTGTAAGTCTAGCTACGGGTAGGGTGTCAGGGTTCGTATCATCGGGCTGGGGCGGTGCAAGTTCGGTATTTTAAAGGCAGGGTGTTAGGATTTGGGTAGCAGGGTAAGGGTGTGAGGGTAAGGGTGTCAGGGTCAGGGTGTTATGGTTAGATTAGGGCGGAGGGGTGAGAGGGAAGGGTGTTCGGGTTAGGGTGTTCGGTTTGGTGTGTCAGCATTAGGGAGTTAGGGTTCGGGTGTTAGGGTCAGGGTGCTTGTTTTAGAGTGCCAGGGTTCGCGTATTTAGGTTGAGGGTGTTTGGGTTAATGTGTTAGTGCCAGGGTGTGAGTAATGGGGTGTTAGGATTTGGATTAGGGTCGGGTTAATGTGTTACGGTTTTTGCTTAGGGTTTTGTGCTCAAGGATTTGGGCGTAGGGTTCGGGTTAGGGTTTTAGTGTTTGGGTGTCAGGTCTGGGGTGTTCGGGAGTTGGGGTTGAATCGTTCGGTTCAGGGTGTTCGAGTTAGGGTGCTAGGGTGAGGGTGATAGGTGTAAGGTGTCAGAGTTCGGGTCAGGGTGGTAGGGTTAGGGGGGTAGGGTGCCAGAGCCAGGGGGGCGGCGTGGCCAAAGGGAGGGGGGGAGGGGGGGGGATCCTATTTTCGAGTCCAAGGGGGGGGGTCAAACCCTTCACCCCCTTTGAAAGTGGTGGGGGTCCGCCGGGACGGCGGATCGGGAAAGGGGGGGGTGGGGGACCGGGACGACGGACTGGGGAACAGGAGTGGGGGAGGTGGGGGGTCCGCGGGAGACAGTGGCGCACCCTCTGTCAGAAGACCTCTGGCCTTCTGAGAAGCCGCCTGTGGCTTCCGAGAAGGCTTGCAAGGCTTATCAGAAGGCGTGAGAAGCTCCGCCGCCTTCGGAGACTGCCTGCCCCTTCTCACTTCCCCCTGGGCTTGCCGCCGAGGTGAGGCAGAGGGGGGCAGGGGAGTGAGCGGAAGAGGCGAAGGGGGAGGAGAAAGGGAGAGGTGGGAGAGGAGCGGAGAAGCGGAGGCCAAGGAAGGAGGGGGAAGGGGAGGGAGGGAGGGAGGATCGCAGGAGGCGGAGGGCGTGAAGAGAGAGCTGAGGAGGATGGGAAGGAGGGAGGGGAGTGGAGGGAGGGAGAATGGAAGAAGGTGGATAATGGTGATGACGACGACGACGACGATGGTGGCAATGGTAATGACGATGACGATGATGATGCTGCTGATGATGATGCTGATGATGATGGTGATTGTGGTGATTTTGGTGCTGATTGTGATGGTAATGTTGATGGTGATGGATGGTACTAATCATGGTGATGGTGATGATGCTGATGCTGACAGTGATGATGACGATGATAGTGATGATGCTGATGATGCTGATGGTCATGATGATGATGGTGATGATTGTGATGCTGATGATGTTAATCGTGATATGATGGTGATGATGCTGACGATGATGATGTTTATGATGATGATGATGTTGATGATGATTATGATACGACTGTGACGATGATGATGCTGTTGTTGTTGATGATGATGATGCTTGTGATAATTATGGTTGTGCTGATGAGGATGAAGCTGATACAGGTGATGCTGCTAATGATGCGGATGCTGGTTGAGATGCTGATGATGCTGCTGATCATGACTCCCATGCTGAATTGTTCCGTGGTGCTGATCATGATGGTGTGCAAGATGATGATGTTGTTGATGTTGACGATGATGACGATGGTTATGCTGATGTTGATGCTGATGCTGATGCTGATGGTAGGGATGACTGTTATGGTGGTGGTGATGGTGATGGTGACGGTTTTGGTGATGGTGATGGTGATGGTGATGATGGTGATGAGGACGATGAGGGTGATAACGATGATGTTGATGAATACGGTGAAGATCACGGTGTTGCTGATGATACTGATGGTGGTGGTGATGAAGCTTATGATGATATTGCTCATGGTGGTTATGATGACGACTACGACGACGATGATGGGGATGATGATGATGATGATGATGACGATGACGATGACGATGATGATGATGATGATGTTGATGATGATCATGGTGACGATGGTACTGATTTTGACGATGACGACGACGACGCGACTTGTGGTTAATAGGATTATGATGATGTTGATGGCGATGGTGACGATGATGACGATAGCGTTGATGATGCTGCTGCTGACGACGGCACATGATAATGAAGATGATGACGATGTGACGATGAATTTGTTGCTGACGATGATACTGCTGGCTATTATGGTGATTGAAGAAGATCGGATAGTTTCCTGGAAGCGGCAAGTCGCGCAGCGCATAGCACAGTGATTGAATGGATGGATGGCCGCTCAGGGCAGCGTGGGCCCACCTCGGCGTCCTGCACCGCCGTCAGCAGCAGCTCGGCCAGGCGCGCGGTGAGGTCAGCGGGCACCCTGGCCGGTGCCGAGACTTGCCGCGCGAAGTTCATGCCGAGGTGGCCGAGTTCATGGGAGGACAGCGGCGCCTCGCGCAGCGGTGGCGACGTCCGTCACGAAGCGCTGCGCAGCAGGGTCGAGCCGGTCTCGACCACGAAGGCGGAGGCCGCGTCCCGTATCCGTTCTTATGGTGCCGCTCTGCGTCGAGGGCCGCATGTCTGGGGGCGCGCACAGTTGGTCCCGACCCGCCAGGCGAGCGAACGGTGATGTCCACCCACGTTGGCGTGGACAGGCCCTGGCAAGAGCACGGACATCGCAACCATCAAAGGCATCACCACCCATACAGCACCACCCATACAGAAACAGGGCAAGAACGCGGAAATCGCAACCATCAACAAAAGAACAGCATATCTTGAGCCATTCAAGGCACCAGCCATAGAGCACCAAGGCACGAACGCGACCATGGCAGCCCTCATTTCCAATTATGTCCGAAGCAAACAAGAACCTCTTAGTCTACGCACTGGGGAGAAACAAGGCCGCTCCCGCTATCCCACCTGCTACCGCCCCACCAAACCTTTCCGTTCAGCTGACACTAATTCATAATTTTTCTTACAATTGTGGTATGGAGTTGCGGGGACATTGGCAGGGAACATAATGCGATCCACGCACCCGGACAACTTCAAGTCGGCGCGTGCGCAGGCAATTGCCAGCACCAGCCCTGCGATATGCACAGCTGCAGTTTGCAAGATTCGCAGGCCAATGGCATACCAGCGTCCTTGGGCATCAGATTGTGCACACCAGCATGATTTCAACCTCTTCACCGCTCTCTCAGGTTGAGGAGGAGCCGAGGAGGAAGCGAGGAGAAATCGATGCAGAGGAGGAGTAGGAGGAATCGAGGAGGAGGAGAATCAGGCTCGTTAGGGTGCGGGACGCGTCCCTCGAGCCTTTGGGTGGGGGGTTGGAGATCCCAAGCCTCAGTCACAGAATTTGGAAGGAGCGCCCCCTGCCATCACATCGTGTAGCTCTCACTTTAGTGCAGCTCGATCGCACGGCCTCCAGCCAGGCATGCGTTTCAAAGATGCGGGCATGGGGGTCGGGGCATTCCCACCCCACCTGGGGGGGGGGCGGCCGAAAGCGGGGATCTGCTTGGGCACATGCACCATGCCTCACCCACACTCGAGGAAAGAAGCATGGGGATCATGACCAGGATGTCGTGGGATCTTGTCCAGGCCGATCTTGGTCATGGTCCGTAGCGGTCGTCGCCAATTCGCGAGGATGATGCACGGAATGACACAGGCCAAGATCGACGTTGGCCAAAATCGGCACGTCTTTTCCGCGTGCAGTCTTGGTCATGGTCCCCGTTTCTTCGCCTCCATACAGACCACCAGCCGGAGCCCGCGCAGCTTTCTGCCGAACAGTACAGAATGCCATTGCTTCTCATGTTGCATACTGCTACGGCTAACTAGTGCGCAGGGCGGCTCTGAATTTCGTTGAAGTGAAGTGCCGTGGGCTTGCGGTCGGCCTTATCTGTCACATACACTACGGATTGCAGTGGTAGGCCACCCGCTGAGATGGGCAACTACTCCGTGCACAGCTCACGAGTTGTCTTAACATCTGTTTATTGCAGGGTATTCGTCTTGATCCATGCTGCCATGGTTCGGGTGGGGACGACAGTGCTGCCGAACCCTTTTTGCACTTGATCTGACAATGTCGTCGACTACGCAGATTTACCGCACACTTCAAAACTCCACGCGCGTACGCGTATGTATCCCTATCTTTGCTTGCCCCCCTGTTCCATCCGACATCGCGACATGATTCGAACCTCAGTGCTGTTTCTGTGGTCCGCTGTTTACGCACATTCTTCTTTCCAACGCCCGCGGGGTATTGTCTGGTCTTCGCTTGCGTGCATGGCTGCGGCGCCAAATATTTGTTCTGTAGTATAAGATGTTTGACATTGTGACCAAGATTCATGGGATGCACCTCATGACACATTGGTGTGCGACATTGATGTACGCCCTATTCGAGATGATGCTTGAAGGGTAACATGGCAACGCAGGAGTCGAGGGTTTCGGGCTCCCGCGTCGTCGGAATCACTGCCAGCGTATCGAGGCAGCATGGAGAATTGCTGGCATATACCAGACCGTGCCAACGACGTATCACAACCATGCCAGGTGCGACATTGATAGTAACAGCACGTGACATGAGTAGGGTGGTTTGGGGGATGTTGCGATGTTCATGATCATGTGGTCCGCACAGCCGTTTCCTCCTGCGCCATCTGCCGTCTGCGGCGAGGTGCAGTTCCCTGATGCCAGGGGCCAGATTGCGATGGACATGCTCCAGGCCGGCCGCTACGCCAGCGGAGAGGGGCCGAGGGCCCGCCTTTGCACAAACCATGTTTGGCTGCGTCGGGAGGGTAGCAGGGAGGCAGGACTGGAGGGGTTGTGCCTGACCATCTCTGCCCGAACCTCTCTTGGGACCTTCCTGGAGGGGAAGGGAGCGGCGGGTCTGGGAACAGACTCAGGCCTCTCCGACGTTGTGATTTTTCGCGGTGTGGGCCCCATGGCTCTTGACCCCGTGTTCTCCGTCACGGGCTGGTTAGGTGTGGGCATAGGAGCCCGAGGGGGGTCCGGAATTCAAGAGCGAACACATTATCCGCGGGGCGTGCTTGGTCACGGCGTTGGTCGCGAGGAGCGGGGGGGCGGGGAAGGGGGGGGGGCAAGCGCGGTGACGGCCTCGTATGCGGCCGACTGAGCACGGCACGGCCCAACGCTCGGGGGTCAGCCGAATAGTTGAGCAGCAGCCCAGTGAGGGCAGCCGCTGGGGCAGCACACGGTCGAAACGGCCCACGGGCTGCATCGCTTGGGCGTCGCCCCGTACAAAGCCAAAGGGAGGAGCGGGGGGGTGGGACCAGACAGACCTAGGATGATCACAGACCGTTCGCTCTCAGAGCGTTGCAGAGCGCTCTGGAGCGGCTGTGGCGGCCCATACATCCTCCAGGCTCGCCCGCTATCGGAGATGTTCCCGATTTGTCCCCATCCGACTTTGTATTTTTCTTGCCTTTGTCCCGCGACTGGCCCCTTGACGAGCACAGGGCCCGCGAACGGCCTCCAACTGGATGGGCTGACCGATGTCCGGGCCTGGAGGGCCTCAGCCGCGCGCGTGCGTGGAGTCGGTGGATGTGGATTTGTGGTCGAGGGTCTGGGCCTCCCCCCCCACTCCCTCTCATGCTGATGCCATCGGTCCCCACCCCCACCCTGCGCGATGGTCCCTCCCCCCACTGTTTGGTGTGGAGCTGAGGGTGTGGCGTGTGTGGCGTGATACTGCGATGCTCCAGTAGAGCTCTGGAGGTCATCGTCGTCACCGCCGCCGCCGTCGTCGTCGGAGGGCTCCGGCGGTCGGCGCCGCCGCCGCCACCGCCGCCGCCGCCGTCGTCGTCGTCGCCGTCATCGTCGTCGTCGTCGTCGTCGTCGAGAGCACCGTCGCCGTCGCCGTCGTCGTCGTCACCGTCGAGAGCACCGTCGCCGTCGCCGTCGTCGTCATCGTCGTCGTCGTGGTCGTGGTCGTCGTCGTCGTCGCCGTCACCGTCGTCGTCGTCGTCGTCGTCGTCGTCGTCGTCGTCGTCGTCGTCGTCGTCGTCGTCGTCTTCCCCCCCCCCGTTCCCATCAGAGGGGGACCCGTGGAGCCCTGGGACCCATTCCATCTGGGGGGGGAGGCCATGGGCCCGCAGCCCTAGATCATATATATATATATATACACATATTTTGGCCCCAGGGGATTCAAATGTATCCATATCCACCGCCCACAGGGGTCCCGGGACAGCCGTTTCCAGGCTGTGGATAATGATAAATCCCAATCTCGCACATTTTGTACTCACCCGAGTTTGTCCTCCACCTGCCTTCTCTCCGCTCGGAGAGGTCAACGGGTGGAGGGAGGCACCCATGTGAGCGGAAAGCCGACACGGGTGAGTTGGCCCGACACCCATAGTTGAAGCCGAAGTCAAATTTGAAGTGCATAGATGAATTTAATAAGATTGATGTGGATGTATGTGTCGTGTTTTGTCGGTTGCGTGCTCATGCGCGGGCGTCGCGCGCATTGGCTCGCCTAATGCAGGTTGGCCTGAGCGTTGCTCCATGTATTCTGTAGTTGTCCTCCTCCTCCTCTTCCCCTTCCTCCTCCTCCTCCTCATCATCATCATCATCATCATCATCATCAGTTTCTTTTTTCTCTCAGCGCGTAGCCGCGGACAAGATTTAGGCCACACCCGCATGACCACCCGAGCCCAGGGCCATTGCCGCGCCTTGCCTGGTCGTTTCCGCGGCAGGTTTTGATCGCGGTGCTCAGGAAAGCCTTCTAGAAGGGCAGCGGGCTTCTCTTTCCTCCACCCAACACACGCACACAAAGAATACACTAGAGAACGAAAAACCCCAATGAGTGAATGGTCTTCGCTGAGGAAATCGACCGGGAAACCCGGAGCCCAGGAATCCAGAACCCACCGAAATCGGCCCGTAACCAATAGAACCTGGGAACCCGGAACCGGGAACCCGGGAACTCAGCCTGCTACCAAAATCGGCGGGAAATCTTCGCCAAATCTTCCAACTTCCGCCAGGACCCCTTCAGTGCAAGCACTGATTGGGGAATGAATTGAATGGGCCCACCTTGCATCGGCGTCACCTCAACATACTGATACTATATGTGCGTCGCCCCCCTAGGGGCGACGCACGCACCGAGAAATCTTAATAGTATATGCGCCGTGGCGGTCGCTTTCTGGCCACACCGCTCGGGCAACGATGTATTACAAGATGGGTATACTATATGTTCGAGTCGGACGCGCGCCTCCAAGGAGCACTTATGGGATCAGTATGTCTCTGTGCGTCCCATTGCAGGTTTGGTTGACAGCACATCGACCTCCCCCTTCTCAGGGGCGGTCGGCGGAGGCCAGATGGGGCGGGCCGCCCAGGGGGCGGGGCACTGCAAGGTTACTTCGCCCGGGGGAGCCCTGCAGAAGGCGTGGGCGGTCGGGAGCTCCTCCCTGGGCCGTGCGCCCCTGCTGCAGCCGAGAGTCGGGCGATCGCAGACATGGATCAAGGGGGCACCCCTCCTCCTCCCCCTTCTCCTCACTCCTCCTCCTCCTCCTCCTCCTCCTCCTCCTCCTCCCTCCTCCTCCCTCCTCCTCCTCCTCCTCCTGCTCCTCCTCCTCCTCCTCTTCGGTTTCCCCTCGTCCTCCACCTCCTTCCCCCCTCCAACTTGTGGTGGTGGTGGTGGTGGAAAACAGGCCCATGATGGGGGCGGGGCGGGGCGATCGCAAACACATGGATTAGCGACGGGTCCCGTTTCCATCGGACATCGCGGATTTCCGCCGCCGAGCGGGCCGGACGAAGGAGGGGATAGGGAAAGGGGGGGGGTACGAAATCTGCTGCATGCAGCTGGTTTCTGCCCCACCGAGGGGCCCATTCCTCGATACAAGGCCGCCTCCCGGCGCTGGGAGGCGCCAGGAAAATGTGAGCTGATTCTCACCCCCCCCTTTGCTATCCCCTACTTTCGCCCAGCCCGAGCCCAGCGAGGCGGCACCGGCCGCATTTTGGGGAGGGCACCTCCCCCGATCCACGGATTTGGCGACCGCGCGCCAGATCCATGGATCGCCAATCCGTGCTTGCGCGCCCCCGAGACAGGGGGTCCTGGCAAGGGCTCTCCCACGGAGGCGCTGTGCTGGAGCAGGGCTCGAGGCCTCTCGCCGGCGCTGCGCTGACCGCACATGTTTCTTCTGCTGCTGCAGGACGTTGATGGTGCAGTGTTGCATGTTTTGCCACGGCAGGATGTCGCCCATCAGCGACGTGGGAATTGATGTCCTGTCTTCATCTGTTTTTCCCTCGTGCTGCCACTCCCCTTCGTCTGTGCGTTTCTGCTCCTCCTGTACCTTCATCCGTCCCACTCGTGTTCCTCCCTCCTTTACGTCCTCGCTGTCCTCTGCCCTCCTTTCCTTTACCCTCCAGGTTCTCCTCCCGTCCTCCTTTGAGGGTATCACTACCGTTGAAGGGAAACCTTTGCAACAAACGTTTCAGAGCCACTTCGCATCACCCCCCTCCGTCTCCCATAATGATAAACAAGCGCTTTCAAGAGAGGACGGGCAAATCTTGAGCTCATCATCTTGAACGCAATACTTGCCAATGTCAAGGCTGAAGGGTGGAGGGGGGCATTGTGTTCTGTCTAGTTCGGGTGCTGTTGACGCACAGTTTTTTCCTTCATCCGTTCGAAACCTCGCGTCCTTGTCTTCGGGGGTAATCAAAAAAGGCTTATGTTATCAACAGATCGGGCATGCATTCCATTTGTGTTTGAATTGCCTTTGCTGAGATGCGTTTTTGTTTTCGGTTGTCGTGTCTGATACGGGGAGTTCGTCTAAGATAGTCGCAGTTGAGAAACAATGCAATGGAAAGGCAAGGGTCGCTCAAATGTTTTACACCGGCCGAACAAAGCACCCCAACTAGAGGTTGCGCCGCGTGGGAACCTCGTGGGTTCCATTTTTCTTTCAATCAATTCAGGCAGGGGCCAACGAGGAGTTCTATCCACGGAGCCTTGACTTGCAGGCCGATGCTGTGATTCTGCGGACGGGACGGGGTAGGGGTGGCTGGGGCGCAACAGCGTGCATGCGACTGGGGCGCAACAGCATTCATTTGTCTTTGGGCGGTTCTTCGGGATTCGGTGTGCCGTTCGGAGCATTATCCCCCCTGTTGGCGACGCCCGATCATACACATCTGGTGATGGAACGCGCACCGCGACGCCGACGCCGTAAAACATCAGTGGCGCAGCCTCCCTGCGTCGGCGTCACGTGGGACACACGTGGCCTTCACGCGGTTTTTTTTTCTAAAGAAAGAATGCGCCCCACATCCTCGCAGTTTCAACATGTATGTATGTATGTATGTATGTATGTATGTATGTATGTATGTATGTATGTATGTATGCATGTATATATGTATGAATGTATGTGTATGTGCATATGTATATAAATATATGTACATATATATATATATACACATAGAATCCCCCCGGGTACCGAATGTGGCCCCGGGGGCCCGGGGGGCTTTTTTCGGCCCTTTGGGGGGCCTTTTCGCCTCCGAGAGCGCTCCAAGGTCACCCACGGTGGCTTCCAGAAGGCGCAAGAGGTTTCCGAGACAACCCAAGAGCGCCCCAAAAACTATAGAATGGCAAGACGGCCCAGGGGACCCCCAGAATGTCAAAAGTGCCCCAAGAGGACCCTCACGAGGGCCGCAAGAGGCCATGATCGTCCCTGTCCAATCGGGAAAAACATATGTTCCAGCACTTTCGCTTTTTGGTTCTGGCAGCACCCAATGCGGCCTGGGGGGGGGGTGCAAGATCGCCCCAAGACGGCCCACGAGGCCCCCAAGGAGGCCCCAGAACGGTACAAGAAAGACCCACGACGGTCCAAGAGGCGCCCCAGATGGCCAACGAGGCCCCTAGAGAGCCCGAAGAGGGATCCTTGAGGAGGAGCCCGACCTCGAATTTCGAGCCCCCCGCCTCACGAGGACCGAAGTTCTCCGAGACCGCCAGCAGGACCCCCAGAAGCCCTCCACAGGCTCCCTGAGACCCCCTAGAAGCCGGCCTCCAAGAGGCCACGACGTGCTCCCTTTTTGCTGATCCCCAGGGCCCCCAGCGGATCCCTCCACAAGGCCCGTCGCCGCTGCCACCCGGCCTGAAATCCGGTCTTCACGACCTGCATCAGCTTCACCTCATCACCGTCCCGCAGTGCTTAGCCGCGTTGCACAGGCAGGACGGGATCCCCAGGCAGTTGTTTGCCCGTCTGCGGATGCTTCCTTGCAGGGATGCGATCCCGTTTCTTTCTCTTGGCGTCGTCCTTGGACAGTTTGCCCTTCTTCTCCAGCGGCCCTGGGCATGCTGCCCCGAGCCCCGCTCTCCTGGTCGCCGAGTGGGCTCCGCACGTCACGCACAACGTAGGGCCCGTGCAACTCTACTCGTCGCTCTCGCACAGCGGGTTGAGCTCTACCTTCACTTCTCTCTCCCACTTGAGCTCCAGCCGCCACTGCTGCCGCCGCCGCTATGGCCACGCACGTCTCGAGCGACCTTGAGGTGCCAGTCCTCCGCACCCCCGTTAACCTCCACGGCGGCCGCTGGCACGCCGACTCCTGCAGCTTCTCGCGCATGCGCTTGGATGCCGCTCTCTTGCCATACTTCGCGCACACCAGCCACTTACCGGTCGTCACCACCTCTTGCTTCGTCAGCGCCAGCTTCGGCTTGACCCGCCTCCTCCGCGGCTTCCCTGGCTCTCGCTTGGGGACATCGGGCAACTCGCCTCCCATCTTCTGGTACCACCAGCCTATGTTCTGCACCGGCCAGCGCACCTTCGTCCCAAGCTCATCCAGTGCCTGTTGGTTGCCGTAGTGTGCGTCCATCGCCGCACCCTCCTTTGCCAGCAGGTCCGCGGCGCAGTTGCCCGTCGCAATCTTGAGCTCGTCGCCCTGCAACTGCGCGATCTTAGTCTTGGACCTGTGCGCCTTCACGTGGTGCCTGTGCTCACGTCCAGGTCCATGTCCCTCACCTTTGCCAGATCCTCCGCCACAGATCCGCGTGCGGCCCGTTCCAGCTCGTGCACCACCTCCCGCCCCGCTGCAGGCCATCCATGATGCCCTTGTGACCCGTGTAGATCCTGCACGGCGGGAGCGCATTCTCGAGCACCTTGAGGAAGGCCCACATCTCCGCTCGCTTGACCTGCATCTGCACTGGCAGCGCACAAGGTAGCGGGCCCCACAGCTGCACCGTCGGCTTACCCTCGTCTGCAAGTGATATGGCCGCCCAGCCCGTCTGCGCCCACTCGCTGTAGCCGAGCTTGGACCTGTCGCACGCTATGTCGCCCGTAAACAGGTCGTAGACACCCTCGAGCACCGCCCCATTTTACTGGTGTACTGGTCCTCCTTGGTGCCGAAACTCCAGTCCGTCTCGGGGCTCCTGGTTAGCCCTCGCCGCGTCCAGAGTAGGCTGTCCTCCTGCTGCTCCGCCACGTGCTGCCATTCTGCCTGCGCCTCCTGCCTCTCCTCCCTCAGGGTCTCGCACTTGAACTGTCTGTGATGCGGCGTGCCGACAGCCTGTCCACAGCCCAAACAGATGTCCGTCGGCACGATGTTGCACTCGCAGAGCTTGCTCATCGTCCAGCTGCCTCCTATGAACACCTCCTTCGCCGCGCTCTTGGCGTGCGCGGGGAAACCCCTCGCCTTCAGCTGCGAGACCGCGGGGGCTATGTACGGCTTGGTATGCCTCTCTGGGACTTGTTGGAGACATCTTTGGGGCATTCCACAGTCTTGTTAGCGCCTCGTGGGGGCCTCTAGGGGGCTTCTTGGGGGCGTCTTGGAAGCCTTTGGGGGCCTCCTGGAGGGGCCTCGGGGGCCTCCTGGGGGCTCGGAGCGGGTTCCAGGGAGAGTTGATTGAGCATGGAACAAGTAGTGTTGAGGCAGGGGCGTCAGCGGCCACACTTGGGCAGCACCATCACTGGGAGGGGACGGGCTGGAGAGGAGGGCGCAGTGGGGGAGCCGCAGCAGCCGCACGATCGCGAGCGTACGCGCTCACAGGCGTTCGTCTCCGCCTCCCGTGCTGCTCTCCCGCGGGGCCGCGCTCCGCGCTGGCCCGCCCGCACAGCGCGAGTACTCCCAGCGCCTGGGCGGCTTCCATCCCCCGCCTCCGGGAATACCGTACGCAGGCCCTCCGCACCCGCCCCTGCTTCATCCTTCTTGGTGTTGTCAGAAGTGGTCCGTGCCCGAGGTGAGCGGCGCAGCACAACGGGGTCGACTGCGCGGACGTGACTGTCTGCGTAAGATGGCGCGTGAGCGCCCTTGTTTCCGACGTAGCGTGCCGCGCTGTCGGCCCGCGTAAGCCACCGTGTAAAGTCGCTATGTCATCGTGCGTAAGGCTCACCAGTCATTTTGTAGCCCTTGGGCCCCTGGGTCGCGAGGGGCGCTCTGGAGGTCACATGGGCCTCCCCGGGAATCCTGCAAACACCCAAGGCCAGGGAGACCTTGAGTAACACCCGACCCCCCCCCCGTGCGCGTGCGAGCCGGCCGGCACGCGGCGGGCGGCGTTCCAGCCACCCACAGAGCATCTTCGGGCGACGACGGCGAGGACGAGAGGCCGCGAAGGCGGCGGCGACAGCGGCTGCAACGGCGAGGGGCGAGACTAGCGGGTGAAGGGCTTTTGCTCCTTGCTGCTCCTGCCCTTGCTGCTTCTGCTGATGCTGCTGCTGCTCCTCCTCCTCTTGACTCCCCTAATCTCTGCGACTCTCCCTCCGCTGCTTCTGCAGCGTCTCGGCTCATAGCGCCGCCCCCCCTCGGCCCGCGGCTCGATGATGCAGCGAGTCGCCGAGGCCTTGGTGGAGGCAGGGGGGGCTGTGCTATACGAGGGCTTGCGAGCCGCGTTCTTCGAGTGGCTCGCAGGTCGCCCACTTCCATTGGTGGACGGACCAGGAGGCTCCTACTCTCGGGAGCGCCTGGCAATCCCAGGGCGCGGGCCTCGATGGGCGAGGCGCAGTGCCTTGCCGACGAGGTTTCCGCGGCCTGCCCCACCGTCTGCTTGGGGCTGGCGGTGGACTTGAGCGGCGGGGTTTCTCCCTCGCTGCTCGCGACGGTCATCTCCATCCTGGGGGTGACCGCTTGCTGCAGCTTCTGCGGAGGCTGCTGCTTGGCGGGCCTGGGAGCCTGCTGGTGGGACCCCTGCCTCGCCCGCCTCCGT